TTTAAGTGGTCGGAAGACTAGAAAAGCACTATACAAGTACAGGTTAATTTACCATTTAACACAGTATAGTCACGGCGATGAACAGGTCTCAGTGTGGACATCCCTTCCCCTGAAGAAACAATCTCAGTCTTGTGCAGGTGGACCTTCAAGTGATTCATTAATATGCCCTTCGAGATGTCTGCGAGAAAACAGTGACAGTGCTGTAGTTCTACTTCCAATCTGTTATGTTTATTTATTCTTGCCTTCTCAGCAAGGACAGTGAGAGACAAAAGGATATCAAGGCAAGACTGGAGAATGCCCAGGATGTGTTTTATTATGTGGTCCAAGCAGTCCATCCTAAAGTAGGTTGCTGCTGCACCAAAATTTTACTCGACGGTCCTTGTACCAAGGATGCAATTCTTCAGGACCTGATGGGGCAGGATAAATGCCTACAAATAGTCTAGCCTGCCGTTAAATACCACATGAAGAACAACATGTCGAAGATGGCAACAACTGCAGCTGTACAGGTGATTTACTCTCAAACCTTTTGTGCACAGTGCTCCGTCCTCAACTCTGTATGTGTGCAGGCACCTTGGTGCAGCCAGGCCCTCCAACAAACACACAAGAAAGGATTAAAGTGCGGCACAAGAGTCTGCCTTTTTCTTAACCTGAGTAAAGATACTGAAGTTGGTGTCTGCGTATTTAGACACAAAGCCTGCCAGCTGACTTTCCAGGAGTGACCCAAGCAAGTTAACGCTGAGCCGTTGATTGCAGGGAAACAAAGCTACGAAGTGAAATGCCTTTCCTCCTGTGACCTGCACAAGCAAACACCGCACAGCAAGGACTTGTTTTTGGCTCGTCCACAACAGGCAGACCACTGGCTGAAGGACGCAGCACACCAGCAACTCTTCTTCCCCCACCTTTCATGGACTGCTTCTGTGACAGTTTACAGTCTGAATGGCTAACACAGGACTGTTAACCTCTGTTAAGGTACATGCAAATCAATGTGTTTTTCATTATGATTATGATTTTGTGATGTTGATATGATTAACGTAGGTTAGGGCTATAACTGTATCTCTCTCTGAGACACTTAAGGTGATGATAGTTAATGTTAGTTAGTTATGCTTCACACAGACATCGTCTTTCCATGCTACTAACACCCTTTTAACATGGCAACTATAACCTAAGCTCACACATACACCTAAATTTGGCCTCAACCTCAGCAAGAGAGGTAACTCAAACTTGTTCTTTTGTCTCTGACCAACATGTGTTTGATGCTCAGTTGAAACATATGGTCAACGAGAACAAAGACACACATCTTTTGCGGTGTCCAACCCTTACACACCCTTGCTTTTATTATCTTTTTAATAAATGCTTGTATACATGCTGGCCTATTTTATTTTGCACCAGTGATACCAGCCTCTTCTATGCAGAATATCAAATCCTTCCACTTAAACTACTGATATGGTGATTTTGGTTATAGTTATTAATTTAATTATGAATCAGTTTTAAATTAATAGTTTTTTTTTATGAGACTGAAATTAATCAATTACTAGCTAAGGTTTCACTTCTTTATGAGTGGTGTCCCAACTTAACTTTAATATGAATTGCACACCAACCTTTATAAATGAGCCCCCCTGTTACAGGACTTTGGTCGACAAGCTAGCCAAGTTAAACCAAACTTGGGGGAGGTTCAATATGCAGTGATAGATCATTATGGCCTTATGCCCTACAGGGGACTAATAGGGTAAAAGTAAATAAGCACAAATAAGCAGAGAAAAATGGTCATTGAGCAGTGCTGTCTGAACCCAAAAGCAGCATCAGCAGTTCTATAATATCTGAACAGCATTCTCTCCATAGGTTAACCCATATTAAATGTATTTGTAGGTCAGATGCTGTGGATGGAGTCTCTTGGCTGTATGTTGTACCTGTGTTCTCCAAAGTTACGAAACCTCCAGGAACTTCAAGATGTTGGCCTCCACCTGTCTGACCTGGCCCAGCATGATGTCACCAGAGACCTGGTCCTCCTCAACCAGCAACGTCTAGCTGAGATGGAGCTCACCAACCAGTTGGAGAGGAAAAAAGTATGAAAACAGTTCTTACTTTATGTAGTCTTTTGTGAGACTCCTAGACAAAATGGCAACCCAGTTATGAACATGATAAGAAACACCTTAAAAGAAATGCTGAACTAAGAGATGTAATTAGATGTAACAGTCATGTCAAATACGCGCTATAGGGTATTGGGTTATATATATTTAACAAGGGTTAAATAAATAAACTGATTTGACTTGACTCAATGAAAACAAGAGCATGTTATGTAAAACCAAGAATCAAGTACATTTATTTACCATTACAGGAAAGGAAATAATCTTTTGAATTTGCATCTGGGGGGATGTAAATAGCAGCAACATGATAGTAATGATAATGGTTTCATCTTCATATAAGGAGTTCGACATTGAGAAACAGTGTTCATCTACTTTAACTGTGTTTGAGCATCAAGCATCATTGATGTAATAAACACAGAGTCTGCCTCCTCTTGTGCGGGCACTATGACAGACCATAGTCTGTCGGCTCAGAACACAATCCGCACGTCAAGTGCTTGATCTGGGATGTTGATGGAGTAGGTCTCTGTAAAGATGTGGGCATAGTAATCTCTGATTTCCTTTTGTTTGGCCAGCCATTTCATCCAGACCGGACATGAATTATTACATTGAATAAGTATGTGAAACCTCTGAGTACATAAAGCTGTAAAACAAGTGAGCAACCATTTGCAACTATCCGTGCAAACAGAGTTACTGTTTTCAATTCAGTTTGATTTCAGTTTCCGTAGTGGGTTTTAATCAGCAATGTTTTTTGACTGTACTGACCAATTTTGAAGTAGATCCGATAAATTCCTAGGAAGGAGGTTTGTTTCAAATACAAGACGAAAAAGTTTGCTGAAAGTGAAACTGAAAATCAAAAATGGGCCGACTTCCTGTGGGTTTTGGGGTATGGGTCCAAGAGGCTTTTTTTGTACGTCTCGGCACGTTACACGTGCCTACCGAGTTTCATACATATCGGTGAAACGTGGCGCCGGGGCTGCTTTTTTTAAATCCTGTAGGGGGCGCTACAAACACGACAAACACGATTTTTGGTATGTGAGCTACAGGCACCAGTCTACACGTGCCCTGTGAATTT